GCCGGGACGCAGCCAGCCGGTCCTGCACCGGCAGGAGCTGCGAGAAGCTGGGGACGGCAGGAGGGTCCCCTGCCTGGCCTGGCAAAGCTCCGAATGAGGACTCCGGGCAGGTCAAATCCTGCCTCAGAGCTAACATAGCTCCCGGCAGGATCATCCTCCTGTGAGCCTGAGTCCTGCTCCTCCTCCCAGCCCTCCGGCTGCTCTCGCTTCTAGGTGCCCCGATGCCATGAGCGGGAAGCAGAGCGGGGATGGGAGCTGGCACCAAGCAGTACTCGCCGCTCCCCATGGCAGGGAAGGGCCCAGAGGAGGGAGCCAAGCCCAAACCAGGGAGCCAAGCAATTTTCTAGCAGCTATTCAAGGGCCTCCGGGGCCAATAATTAAAAACAAGGAGCAAATAAACACTCCCAACGTGTTTCTCGAGGCTGGCGCTGAGCACTGGTTGCTCCTCCGCCGATAAAGCAGAGGCTCTCCCTCTCCAGTGCCACGCCATTAACACACCAAACCCCGGAAGCCCGGGGACGGGCAGCTGCCCCCCGTTTGGTGGCACGCTGCCCATCCCCAGCACTGCGGCAGCGTGTCCCCAGGTGCCCAGTCCCCTCCGGATCATGACCGCCCGAACCGTGGGGACCCCAGTGGCAGCCCGGCGAAGCGGTACCCCCCTGACCCCCTCACCCTTTTTGAATTCCTCCAGCATGGCATCCAGCTTGGTGTCATGGAAGACGACGTGGACGGGGTGGTTGTAGAATTTGGTGATGGTTTTGAGGGGGGTGCAGTCATCAGGGTCAACAAAAGCCAGGTCCTTGACGTAGAGGATGTCCATGATGTTGGAACGCTCATCCTCATAGACGGGGATGCGGGTATAGCCACTCTCCATAATCTCTGACATGGTGTTGAAGTCCAGGATGGCATCGCTGTTGATCATGAAGCAGTTCTGCAGCGGGGTCATCACATCCTCCACCGTCTTAGTGCGGAGCTCCAGGGCCCCCTGGATTATGTTGAGCTCTTCCCTCACCAGGTCGTTGTAGGGTTCCGTCACCTTCAACATCTCCACTAGCTTCTCCCGGTTGTAGACGGTGCCGATCTCCTGGCCCAGGATGCAGTCGAGGAGCTTGCTGATGGGGTAGGAGAGCGGGAACGTGACCAGCATGAAGAACTTGGTGACCACGATGGTATTGGCACCCACGGCCAGGCCATGGCGGGAGCAGAGCGCCTGGGGCACAATCTCCCCGAAGATGACGATTCCAATGGTGGAAGCGACGACGGCGCCAATGCCGGAGCCGATGAGGTCATCGAGAAGAATGGTGAGGGTGGTGTTAACCAGCACGTTACCCAGCAGCAGGGAACAGAGCAAATAGTTCCCTTTACGGCGGATGGGCTCGATCTTACGGGCATAACGCTTCTCCTTATCAGTGCCACAGTTCTGCACGATGCGCAGCTCCATGGGATCCAGCGCCATGAGGCCCAGGTTGAGCCCACTGAACATCCCCGACAGCACCAGCAGCCCAGCGATGAGGATCACCTGCAACCACAGGGGCAGCAGCGATTTCTTCTCCTCCAACACCATGATACGTCCGTCGGGGCCTTGATGGGGCAACCAGGGTTGGTCGGGTCGGTGTTGGGTGCAGAGGACGTAGGTCTTGGCCTGCTCGTCCTTGCGCAGGGGCTGGACGTGAACCCGCAGCAGGGCCGAGG